TGGCGTGGAGATCGGCGTTGGTGGAGATTGTTCTGGCGTTGTAGGTGCAGAGCATGAGAGAATCATTATGGCGTCGTTGACGTGTCCTTTTGTTCCGAGATCCATGGCATCCTGTGAAATCTGACACTGGTCTCGATGACATCCGACGCCGTAGATGTGCCAGTGTGCAGCCTTCTTTTCCTCTTACATGGTGTACGGGCAATAGAATTTTCCCCAAACATTAGCAGCCTTGCCAAAGCCTGCCAAGCTTTCACCACAGGCAATCGCTGACCTTATGTGGATCAGCGGACCACGTAGCGATTGAATCAGCCAGTCGGTGATGCTCTGGCATTGCCTAATCTTAGCTGGGCCGAGCGGAAACCTTGAACTCCTTCTCAGCTTGCGAGACCCTGGTGGAGGACAAACCTCCACTGTACTTCGCAGTTCGACACCCAGAGATCCCCACGCCACGATGAGGTGGAAGACCATCCCGAGGGTTTGCGAGGATTAGGAAAAGAACTAGAAGGCTCTCTAACCGAGTCGTCTTCCTACGTATATTTCGGATGTTCGATGAACATGGAGAACGATCTGAATGAAGAACTAAACAGGAGGCAAAGAGCAGCTTGGGGCCTTTAAGCCCCTAAAGGACCACAGACCAACCGACGGTCTCGGAGCTTCGAGCCCTTCGACTCACGTTCTCCCTGCGCTCTGTTACGCAGCAGTGGCTTACCTGCGGCTACTTCGAAGGCACTCCGAACAACCCGCAGAGCGCTGGAACGACGTCCTCTGAAATACAACCGATGAGCTCAACAGCTTTTTCGGATTCCGAAGTTCATCATTCATCAATTCTCCTCTTCGCGATCCAGCGGAATACGTCTTAAGGCAAAACATCGATAAGCTTGTAATATAATGACAAGAACGCTTTTTGCGAAGATACTTACTCAGATACATCATATGATGAGAAGAACAGACAACAGATGGACACTAAGAGCTCTGGAAAAAAATTATTTGCCAACAAAACGTCCCGAAAGAGGCCGCGGACCAGATGGGCTGACGTGCTCGTTGCACGGATGGACAAGCTGAATTGTCAGCTGGTAACGGGCAATAGATCTGGACCCCGCGAACGTCGCCGCTGCAGTCCAATACTAACATCATGGATGACGCTAGCGATAGACAGAAATGGATGGGAACAATGCTGGGGCTTGCACGACGAGGGAAGACAGACCATTCATTTCTAACAAGGGAATGATACTTGTTCGAAGTGGCGATATAAGAAGGGATACATAGAATTGCATGCAGTTTGGAACACTGATTTTAAATCTACCTTCCATATCTGCCAAGCGCCTTCCTGGAAGAAGTTACGGAGATTTGTCTCTACCAGAACGCTTACAGGAGATGGATTAAAGTGCTCAAAAATTCAAACTTGACCCAAAACAGCAGCGCGAAGGCCAATTAGATAAGAAATATGACTTTGTAATAAAATTAAACCATTTGCTTGTTGTTTCTGGTTGGGTTTGATGTTCTAGAGCAGTTATTGACGAGGAGCACAGGCTGATTTCAACATAGAAAACCTTCCATAACATCCCAGAGAATTGCTTTGTAGATATGGAAGGCAGATTTGGTATCAGCGTCTGAAGCTGCATTTACTAGTATGCATCACTTTCAAAATTACCATTTTAACCAAATATCCTT